GATACACTCTCCTATTAACACTTAAGACATTGCACATATGATTATGAATGAGATTGATATAATCGTGTGATGAAATCTTAATCATCTGATTATTAGATTGCATCAAAAAGTACTCTGCAAAATTCTTAAACATCATGTTATGCAAATGATTCTTATGGATCCCATTAAAATGATCTCACTAAACCTCTTGCATCTGTGGCTCCATTCTCATAGCCTTCTTGCATCTTAGTGAAAAGATACTATAATTGATAAGGGATGCAATCTTCTCTTTTTGGATGCTTGGTTTCATCATACTTCCACTTAAAAAGAGCCTCTCTAAATTAACGAGTCATAAAGAGAGTTTGAAGGAGAGAATTCATGTAACATGTGTTACCCAAATTATTTAAACCGCAATACATAATTATTTTAATATCATTCATAAAGTGATGCTATATCACAAAGAGCCTACTTTTAACTATTATAAAATACCAATTAATATTTAGATGAGTTGAGCAACCTCTTTCCAATCAGGATGCCTTTTCCCATCAAAGATAAAGGAGTAGGTGGATTGGGAATCTATCCTATAATAGTAGAGAATAAATAATCAAAAACTGGAGCAATTGAAGTATCTCCAATCGAACTATTGTAAATTTATATAATTTACCAAACTTCAAAATATTCCATACCGTATTTACGAGCCATTCCTATGGCTTCTGACTTTGATACACCTCCTTTGTTACTGGCATATAGATCAATTTTATTTCCTATTAAAACTTTAACAGGAATCTCAGTTTTCTCATTTTCAGTTATCCAATGTTCAATCTTTTCAAATGTCTATCTCTTTGAGACTATTTATATAAATATTTGAATTACCATCAAACATATAGATGGCTGCTGTAGCTCCAAGACAAAAGCGAAAGAATGTATCAGGACTACGATGCTTTCCAGGTATTTCCCAATATGCTATCTTGTATAGAGTGTCATCATCCATATAACCAACAGTCTTAATCATTCAAAATTTAATTATACCTTTAAATTTAATTCATCTGATGCTTCCTATTCTATTATCTTACCAAAGGTTATTGCCAATACTTTAAATTTTATGATTTAATTTACCATCTAAAAAGGTTGATTTTCCAACTGATTTCTCACCTTAACATACATTAGAATGATACCTAAAATGACGATGCGGAACTTGAAATGATAGTCTTCAGAATCCATTTATTTTATTTATAAATATTTATAATGGCTTCCATGTGTGAGGATTGAATAAAAAAATTAAAAATTAATGACTGACTAAGAAAAGAGTTGTGATGTCAAACTGACCTCTGACACCTAAAAAAATGTTCAAAAACAAATGACAGGATTAAAGTAGATCAATCTTGATAATTTGGTGTATAATAAAAGAGAGAGAAAGTAAACTGGTACACAAGGTAACTAGATCTTATACACTTAGCACTTTAACCCATACCAATAATTCAGTAACGCAAAATTACTCATCATAAGTAAGATCACAAAAAGAAGAATACTGAATTGCATACCCCACCAAGAGAAGAGTTATAACAGAACTAAGAACCCACTTTAATCAAATAATTACCAACATCCTGTGATAACTCTTCTGAATTCAATCCCAAGATCAAACCAAAGAAATCCAAAAAGTTTCGTAGGACTCAAAAACATATAGAATTAGAAGACTCTTCTGATGAAGCTTAATACAAAAGTAAACTCATCCTTAAGAGAGTTAACAAAATCTTTAAAAAATCCTATGAATAAAAATAAATCCTATCTTCAGGTAGTGAATAAGAGAACTTAGTTAAGGAACTATTCAGGAACATTTATGTCAAGATATTTTAAGGTATAATAACCAATTTTTATACAAGATATTCCTGTGACTGCTGCAGACTTGAAATAATTGGCCTAACCAGAATGTTCTACAGGACAAGAAGGTGATGGCAAATTATAAGAAGAAGAACCAAAATAAGAAGAGGAACCTTTAAGAATCTTAACTGAAGATGGTACAAATTTTGAAACCAAACGTAATTTGAAACTCTTAGGAATTGAAAATTAAAAAATATTATCATAATTAGGGGAAATTAAATCTTATATTAATTGTGATATAAGATACTTTAATATTGACTTCCTTGTTGAGAAAGTAGGTGGCTTTGATGGTATTTTTTATATAAATATAATTTTTAGTTGTTTTAATGGATCCTCCCTGGAGAATTAAGGGAGGATAATAGAATGATTCTTCTTTTATGTTCACTAATAGTAAATTCTCTTTAGATTATAATACTATGAGTAATTAAGAAATAATGGATATTAAAATAGAGAAATTGAGTAAGAAAGGATTTCTATTTCTTTGGATCCTCAACACTCAACTCAATATTGCTTATGAAATGGCTAGTAAATGGGGATATGAAATCGTTGATTAAATTATTTGGGTGAAATTAAATCCATAAGGCAATAACGTTTATCTTTCTACAGGATATTACTTTATGCACTCATTTGAAATATGTCTAGTTGGGTATATATTATGATTATATTAAAATAGTTATAAATGTCCTCCAGGTGAACATGTTGAATATCATTCAAAAATATCAAACAATATTATTTTTAGTTCAGTAAGAAATAAATCATAGAAACCAATTGAATTATATGAAATAATTGAATTGATGATGCCAGGTTCAAAGAAAGTTGAAATATTTGCTAGAAATCATAATCTAAGACATGGATGGTTTTCTATTGGAAATTAATTAGGAGAAACCTTTTAAAAATGGTTAGTATAGATAAGTTGTAATATATGTGGAATCTCATTACAACCAGGTATATGTAGATATAAATCTAAAAAAATTGCTAATTTTGATATTTGTTAGAATTGTTACAATAAAAAGATTAAGTATTGATTGTTTATTTAATATAGTGATGGAGAACTCACTGAAAATGATATGTTCTTTTTAGCTAATAAAGCTGATGAAGAAGTATTACATCAATATCATTAATGTAATGGTTGTGATTAGAATCCTATATGGGGAGCTAGATTTGAATGTGTCACTTGTGATAATTATGATTTTTGTGAAGCTTGTTTTGATAATCTATTAATAAATGGAGATCCTATTCATAAAGATCATGAATTCAAAGTGATAGAATTACCTACTTTTGCTGAAGGTATACCCTGTCATGATTCTAAATGTAATGGTTGTTTTCAAAAACCAATTCTTGGTGTTTAGTTCATTTGTAAATAATGTACAAATTTTAGTTTATGTAATTTTTATTATTTAATAATAGGCTAAAATTGTTTCTTTACTAGAACTTCATCTGAATTAAATGGACCTAGACATAAAGCTGATCATCGTTTCGAACCTATATATGAAGTTTAGAATTATTAAAAAAAAACTTATAAATGCTAAGGTTGCGAATTAGAAAAATCTGGAAGTGTTTATAAATGTGAAAATTGTTTTGGATTTTATTTTTGTGAAGAATGCTATACACTTAAAAAAGATGATTGGAAATGTTATGTAGCAACTAGTCATAAAAATTATCATACATTTATCAAGATATGATATAATATAAATATATATATATAATAAATTTCAAAATATGTATTCAATATCGAATTAATTTGTAATTATTTTATATTACATATATATTAATGAATTAAATAAAACATTCTTAATGAAAATTTAGCTAATATTATTATATGTGGAGATATTAAAATATTCCACAATAATATTTCTTAAACTAGAAAATTAATCTTTCCCTTTTGTAGTTTTATCTAATTAATAATTTTAGTACTTTTCTACTAATATTAACAAATTAAATTCCTTAAGGTTAATTACAAAATATTTAAGAGAGTGACTGTCATTTAGAATAGTACAAGAAATTATTCATTTATTTTATAAGAATTCAATTTAGGAAGAAAATGAGACATAATAAAGATAATTAAAAAAATTACTCGTTTTAATCTTTGGAAAATGGAATCTCTAAGTTTTGGAGTGTATTAATACATAAATATTTATAAAAACTGTTTTATGATAGTGATTTGAGATTATGAGTTGTGAAATTACTTAATTTCCAATTAATCAAATACTTTATATTAATTATTGTAATATATGCCACCAAAAGGAAATCAGATTCATGTAAGCAATATTCAGAGTTTGGCTAAAAATGAAGAAGTAGAATAGTTGCTATCAAGCATTGGACCCTTAGTAGAATGGACACCTAAGTATTTTAGTGATTTAAATTAATAGACGAGAGGGGGAAGTGAAATTCTCATGTACAGCTGAGTATTATGATGAATTTACAGCAAATATTGCAGTAGAGACATTAAATGGATATAAATTTTAGGGGAGAGAGTTGAAAGTGAAATTACATGCAAATCTAAGCACGTACAAAATATGTATGATTTCTTTATTTTATGTTTTTTTATTACAGTACCTTATGCTATCGAGAAAGTGAATTATAAAACATCGAATACATATAGTATGAGTTTGCCTTTAGAAGAATTTTATGCCAGTCTTACAACTAATAAAAAATTGGCTATTGTTATAGATTTGAAACAAACATTTTAAAATAGAGAGGAATTTTTGGAGAGACTTCTTTTAGAGAATCCACGAATGAGCGAATTCATCTTAAAAATTTAAAAAGATGTTATAAAAGAATTTAAAGCAAGTAATAGTAAATATTGAATAATAAGATAATACTAATAACAATGACATTTAGCATAATAATAATCACTTTCAACAATTTCAGGTATATTCTAATTTATTTTTAGAATCACCAAAGATATTGATGAATCATATATTGAAAAACTTTATTTGTTGTTGGATAACATTCATTTATAAAATAATACTAAAAACTCAACATAAAGCAAGAGATGGCAATGATATGTGTATTAAAATCCGCTTTTTAATATTTTCTTTTTTCCTTCTCTTTTTAATTATATATAAATTTATATAAAATATTCTCCTTATATTTATATATATATACATTTATAGTAATATTTAAACATTCACATTCATTCATCATTTTTGTCTATTCTTTAAACTAGGCATCAATTAGGTCTTCTAAGCTACAACGATATACAATCAATTACTTGTTTTTTTTTAACTTCTTTCACTAATACTAACCTTTTTATCTAGAGTTTAATTATTACTTGTTTAACAACTAGAATCTGGTTTAGATTTCATCATATTTGATAATTATCTAGCTGATTGTTTTTATTCTACTTATTATTATTATTATTATTATTTATATTATGGAGTTGAAAATTAATTCTTTTAAAGCTATTCATTAAATTTTTAACAATAATCTGTTTATGTATGATTAACTTAAAATTAATATTCTTAATTAATAGTTTCAATATCTAAATCACTTGAATATCTTTTATTATTTTTATCTCCATTTGAAAATGGATCATATGATTTAAATTATAAAGTATCCAATTTTATTGAATTTAGTTTCTCTATTATTTCAATTAATAATTTCAATGTATTATCTAATAATAGAGGTAATAAATTATTTTATAAATCCAATTAAATTGAATGGTATGAATTGAAATATTATCTTATCATCCAATTTAATTTATCATTTACATCACTTATTTAAAATAATTGTTTAAATCTATTCTCTATTGTTTCAAAACTAAATATATATTATCTTATACCTATCTATTTTCATTTAATCTTTTTATATAGGTTCATAATGTTTAAACTTTATTGGACATTTGACATAACTATTATCACTACTACTACTGCTACTTCTATCTGAAGATTATTCACTATCGATTGATTAAGATCGTTTGCGTTTAGTGTTGACCTTTGCAACTGGAGATTGTAATTGACTTTTCATAAAATCAATGTCTGATTTTATTGAAGATAATTGAAACTTTAATCTATTTGATTCAGCCTCTTTTCTTCTTTGACCATGTTACATTTCTAACATAAATAAGTCATTTTAAAATTCAAGGTTTTTCAACTTTTTAAAGGCCTATTGACTCCTATGTGTATCATTATCACACTCTTCAGTATTCAAAGAGTTCAATTGAAATGGAATTTTTTATTATTTCTAATGCTATTAAACTTTTAATGTACTCTAGTTGTACTTTAATTCCCGATTTCAAAAGTGAATCCCTTATTTTTTGATGTTGTACTCAATGGTTCTTCAGACCTGAAACTTTTCATTGGCAGAATAATTGATAATTATATTTATAAATTTTATTTCCCTATTTAATTAATGGTGACTTTTATGTGTTATCATTGTGATCGTACTTTAACAAAACCTTAAGTCGACAAACATGTAAGAACATAATGTAGAAAACCTCCTTCCTTAATTTGTATTGATTGTAAGAAGATGTTCAGTGATAACCATGTTGATCATGTTTCATGTTTGACTGAAAAATAATTATATTGGGGACCTTATGCTAATGTATTAATGTTATAAATATCTTAGGGTAAAAAGCCTCAATAACAGTAAAATACATCAAAGACATAGAAAGACAATAATAAATAGAAGGAATAAGAAACTTAAAAAGAAAGTGAACCAAAATAAGATTGGAAAGGATGGAGAAAATCAATTGATGAATTTATCAAATAAAATTAATTGGAAGAAGTTAGATTAAATGAAGTAAAGGAAAACATAGTTTAAAGATTTATATCTATTTTTCCAGAATATGAAAAAGAATAGGCTGAATAATTATTTGATGAAGCAGTAATTAATATTTTAAATTATATATTAGATGAAATAAAGTAATAAATATTAAGTTGAGTATGTTGGATTTATTGTTAAGAAAGTAAAATAAGAATGAAAAATTATGTTTATTGTTTGTGTTATTAGTTTAGAATAGTTTCTGATAAATATTATAAAAGAATTATATATATATATATATATATAATTGATGTTAAAAAAGAAAGGATCAGAATAATTAGACATTATATTTGAAGCAGGAGAAGATCTATTGAACATATCTAAAAATCAAGTAATCATGATTAAAAATAATTCAATCAAATTACCAATTATTAGACCTAGAACATTTTTATCTTATAGTCTTGAATTTTGTGGCATAACTAATCTAAATTACAAGATGTTAAGATTTTAATCTTTAGGCAGAGATATTAGAGTAAAATACTCAAATTTAATTTAAAGCCTGAAACAAGTATAATGACTTCTTGTTTAGTCAAAGTCATTCATACTACAGAATTTTCTTAAATGTCTTAAAATCCTCTTAAGACATCTTTTTAGACTCTCTTTAATCATGGTTTTCATAGTGATGTATTACTTTAAATAAATGATGAATAAGTATAATATATATGTTTATATATAATATAGCCTTTACTTTTACATAAATGTATTTTAGCCTGTAGATCACCTAAATTTAATGGAATGTTTTCTTCTAATATGATTGAATGCAATTAAAGTTTAGTTAAGGTTGAATATAAAAAGCCAGATTTATTTAAAGTAATGTTATAATGGATATATTGTGGTTATTGGAAGGAAGTATATTGTAGATTTATATAATTATAGTTTCCAGTAGAAATTGAAGATACTTGTGATTTAATGTTATTAGCTGATGAATATTTGATATGTGATTTAAAATAAAAATGTGAAGAGGATATAATATCAAAACTAAATAGCAATAATATTTTGTAAATTTTGTTATTTGTTGAAAAACATTCAAATATTATTTCATCAATGTTACTAGAAAAAACAAATTCAATGTTCATTGATGATTTTGATAAAATACACAAATTAAATTCTGATCTAGAAAAAGAGATTAATAAAGTACCAGGTTTAATGACAAAGTTATTCTAGAATTTACATCAACAGAAAATCAGAAAAGGTAGAAAAGTGCATTTTGTAGTTGATGATTTTGAAAATTAGGAATCTGATTCTGATGATTATGTTAGAAATTATACATAACATTTTTACTAATGATTATGAAATTATACAAATTTAGTACTTCCCATATTGTATTTGGTAATAAGGCTAGACAAAGATTGTTATTAGGAGTAAGTGAAGTAAAAAAAGCTGGTGTTCTTACTTTAGGTCCTTAAGGTAGGAATGTCATTATAGAATCTGAGACAGGAAATCATAGAAGTACAAAAGATGGTGTTACAGTGGTGAAGAATGTGATGATGAAGGATAGATTATCAGAAATGGGTGCAGCTATGATTAGATAAAGTAGTAGTTAAACAAACAAATTTGCAGGTGATGGTACAACTACATCAGCTTTAATTGCTGCTAATATTTTTGAGATTGGATAGAAATATGTATAAGCTGGTCATAATCCAATATATATAACAAGAGGATTAAAAGAGGCTAAGAATAAAGTATTGGAATATTTAGAGGAAATAAAAACAACTGAAATTGATGATTAATTACTCTATAATGTTGCAAAAGTTTCTAGTAATTATGATGATAATCTTACAAATATTGTATTTAAAGCAATAAAAGAAATAGGTGTTAATGGAATAGTAACAATTGAACCTGGAGGTACAGATTCTGTTATACAAATATAATAAGGAATATAAATACTAAGAGGATTTATGCATGAAAAATTTGCAGATAAAGGTACAATCAAATGTATTTTACATTATCCATTTATTTTAACTTCAAAAGAACCTATATTATAAATTAAACAAATTCTACCCATACTAGAATTAGTTAAAAATACAAATTCACCTTTATTCATTATTGCTAGTGATATAAGTGAAGAAGTAATGTCATAATTGTTATATAATCATACTAAAGATATTATTAAAGTATGTGCAATTACAATACCAGGTATGGGTTAATAATTTAGTAATGATTTAATTGATGATTTTTCTATTCTTTGTAATTCTTAATCTGTTGAAAATGTTTAATCAGTTAAATAATTATCTCAATTAGGAAGAGCAGTAAAAATTGAAGTTAGTAATACTGAAACTATGATTATTGGAACATCACCAGATGAATAAGAAATAGAAAATAGAAAAAATTTAATAAAAAATTAATTAGAAAATTCAAATAATTATAGTGCATAAACTCTTAAGGATAGATTAATTAGATTTGATGGAAGAACAGCTATAGTTTATATAGGAGGGAAATCAGAAATAGAAATGCATGAAAATAGAGATAAATTAGTAGATTCTTTAAATGCTACAAAATCAACTTTAAAGAATGGAATATTACCAGGTGGTGGAACAGCATTATTACATGCTTCTAAATTATTAGATTATTTGTAAATAGATCCTGAATATTAATTAGGAGTTTAATTACTATAAAAGACTCTTAGATAACCAATTAAATAATTATGTAGAAATGCTGGAATTAATGAAGGATAAATTATTTAAGCATTATTAGAAGAAACTGATTATAATATTGGATTCGATTAGAAGAGATGTAAATTATATATATATATCAATAAGCATGTTTTGGAAATATGATTGATTTAGGAGTGATTGATAGTTTTGCTGTTGTAAAACATTCATTGTTAGATGGAGTTAGTCTTGGTTCCATGCTTCTTAGTACAGAGGCTGCCATCGTTTTAGATAAGAATTATACTCCTACAGCGTTGAATAAATATAAAAAAGAGGCATTTTGATTATAAATTTGCTATGGGTTAATTTGCATATCTTTTATTAATTATTTTTAATGAGTAGAAGAGATCAGATAGAGAAAGGTAAATAAACAAATTATTCCAAGATAAATAAGCATTGCTTTCTAAACCATGGGTTAAGAATCATCCCATCTTTACTTATGATCATATTGCAGAATTTTATGAAATGTTCATTCTTTATGCTGAACCCAGAACAAAGAAAGCAGATGTGAGAGATATTCTTGTCACAGCTAAGACACTTGGTCTTACTGACAAATTCCCTATTATTGCACATGCTCTTGATGATTTAGCTTCTAGTTATGATGATGCAGTTGATTTTGAAACATTCATTTCAGATTTGACAGCTAAATTAGTAATAATAATAAGCTATATTTCTTAGGGTAACCCATTTGATTAGAAGGGAAGAGTTTAATTGTTCAAACTTATCGATGTAGATGGTAAAGGAACTTTAGATAAAGGAGATTTATAGAAAATATCCGAAGAATTAAGATTCAATTTGAATGAAGAAGATATTCAAGAAATCATTCATAATGTTGCAGGATATGAAGCTGAAGATGTCTCAGAAGAGAAATTTGAAAAATATTTAGGCAAAAGAGTTTAAAGAAGATAAGTTGAATAAGAAATCTATAGAAACAAATGAAAATAAATAAAAATAAAAAATATTATCAATATGACATATTTTTATTATATAATTTATATATCATTCCTACTTGTTTACAAGGTATTTTAATAGCACTTATGTACCAAAACCAGTAGCTCCTGGTGGATAAATACCTTTATCTGCTTTACTATCCATAGGTCCTGCAATATCAAGATGAGCAAATGGTGTCTATTTTACTTATATTTAATACTTTTTCATCCACAAAATTAAATAAAAATGCTGCAGCCTTACTAGCTCCACATACCTTTGATTTTCCAATATTACATAAATCTGCAAATTAACCTTTCATCATATCCTTATGTTCATCAGTTACAGGCATTCTCCAAAATGGCTCTTACAATTCTTTTCCTATTTCTAAAAGTTCTTGTGACAATTCATCATTATTGCTAAATAATCCTCCTGTATTCTCTCCTAAAGCAGCTGCACAAGCACCTGTTAATGTTGATATTTCCAAAATTGTAGTTGGATTATAAGTAGCCTATGTCCAACTTAAACAATCAGCCAATACTAAACGTCCTTCAGCATCTGTATTATTGATCTCTACTGTTAATCCCTTATGACTTTTGAAAATATTGGATGGTTTATATGATGTATTTGAGATGGCATTTTCAGCCATACCCAAAGTGACTGTAACATTTACTTTTAATTTCATATCTACAGCTCCTTTAAAAGCAGCCAAAACATTACAGGCTCCAGATTTATCAAGATGCATAGTTTCCATATTACCATATGATTTTAAATGTAAACCACCGGTATCAAATGTAATTCCTTTACCAACTAAAGCATGCAAATGTTGAGAATCCTTATTACCTCTATATGTCAAATTGATTAATGTAGGTGGATGTATGGATCCTTATCCTACTGCATAAAAGAGATTCAATTAACTTTCTAATAATTATTTACCTTATAAAATTTATATCTCAACATTAGGATTATCTTTAAATAGCGTTTTTACTTCATCCACAAAATATTATGGTGTTCCTTCTTGTCTTGTATTTGCCAAATCTCTTGCATATAATTTTATTTATGCCATTTAAACCAATTGTTAAAAGTAAGAATCTTCAAATATATTTTCTTAAACATGCAAATCAGATATATAACTATATTGATCATTATTTTCATCACTTTATTATTTCTCTTGTGCAACATCTCCTAATAACTTATATTTATAATTGGCTTGTATCAATCCAGAAATTACTTAAGATGTTTCTTTTATATTTAATTCATTCTGAGTTAATACAACTGTGCCAAAACCATATTGTCTTGCTTTTCTTGCTACTTCTCCTCCTGCATTGTAACAGGAACCCTTTACTCCAACTGCTAATCCAACTTTCTCCTCTCCAAAGATAAAGCTCTAGCCACCTTTCACTACATTATTGACTTTAAGTCGATGTAAATGGCGAGATATCTATTAGGAATTACATCTATAGAGGTTCAAAAATAAGCTAGAAGCCCAATTTTAAGATTAAACTGGAGGCTTATATGAGTTAATACAAAGCTATTTTACTTTCATTAATTAAATTCTTAGAAAATATATAACATAGTTGATGTGCCTTAGTTGATATAAGGCGTTTGGTTTTGGCTCTAAAAAGAAAGAGTATGAATTAAAATTTTGCAATCAATATAAATTTACTATTTTAAAGGCCATTTATTCCATAATATTAACAATAACTCAAAAATTTAAATAAAAAATCAAAGAATAGAGTTTAGTTGAATGTTAAAAAAAATATGAATTATATTCAATAGATTCTATCTATATATTTACATATATTATTTTTTAATCATTAATAATTAAGATTATGAATATAATTTGTATTAGAATAAAGATTTTAAAGAAAGATATTAAGAACTAATTGATTAATTTTAATTCATATTATACAGTCAAAGTCCTTTAAGTTTTAAAGCATTGGCTCTATTAACTATCTATTAATATTTATCTTGAATTCTGTTTAAGTAAGCTAATATATTTATTTATTATATGAATTACAATTGATATCATTATTATTGTTAATTGTTTATGTTATAGTTGTACTATTAATTTAATCTTATGATTGAGAACGAGATAATCTTTTCGAAGTTATTTAACCATCTCTGTTACTCTAACATTTAATTTATTATTTAGATTCATTTTATTATTATCTTGACTCTATTTATCGAGATTGATTTTTCATTCTCTTTAACTAACTTATTTGTGGTTTGAATGTACATTCTTACATCTCTTTTTATTGTTTTTCTCTTTCATGTAGTTTTTTTTTAAACTATCTTGAATAATTAATTAATTTAGGTACTTTCTATCTTCAATTAATAACCCTTATTAATATAAATCATGACCTTTATTCTTAATTTCAAAAAGACAAGTCTAATGTTCACCTTAAATTTCTTTATCAAGTTTAGCTATGTCTGATTTTAATTTTTTTTGCATAACTTTAATCTATTCATGTTAAATGTATTTAGGCTGTGGGGTAATGTTTTATATTTTAGAAACAAGTTCTTATTATTATTATTTATTAGAATTTTTAGATAGATCAATTTTTTGAATTTACTTTTCAACAGCTTTCTTTTAACTTGATTTAGGTTTCTAAATTATTTTACTGTTTGATTTAGTTCTATCTATTTATTCTTTTATTTATTTTTTCCTTTCTTCATACTTCAATTCAGCTTCTTAATCATTCATTTAATTGTAAGTCTTCGGTTAACAGATTTATGGTGATTCAATATCCTTAAATAAAGATTTATATTAAATTTGTATAGGTTCTGAATCTTCAGTATGTTTATTTTTTTAAGGACTACTAACTGGATTTGCTATAGCTAATATTAAATGTTACTTATTGATTAGACTACAATATTAGAATTTGAAAGTTGTTTTTTTTATTTTGCTTCTTTGAGTTTATTCAAGGTGTTCTATAATTCTATGGCTTATTTAGACAATGCCTAAGGTATTTATTCTTATTTCCTAACAGACAATGCTTAAATAGGAGAGAATGCTGAAGTTGGTACTTTTGTAAGTGGGGAATTAGACATAATATTAATTAAAAATAACAGAATGAGTATTAAACATTTCGCTGCATCATTTATAGGAGTTGGAATAGGAGTTTTTGGAATGCACTTTTTGATAAGATCGATTTTTGGAGGTCCATAACAATAATTTGAATAGCAATATCAATAACCAGTATAGAATTAGCAATAGTCCTAAAATCCATTTGATCAAGTAGTATCGAATATAAAGAATAAATAATGAAAATCTGTTGATTTTATATTAAAACAAAACATGAATATTGATACATGTTGTCATGAATTCAAATTATGAAGAATCTAGAATATTTTAATATTACTTATCAACACAAAATAAATATGAAAAAAACAATATAGAGATCCATGATATAGATTCCAATTAGAATAACAAATACTAATTTAAATTTATAATTAATTTCTGTAATTTTATGCAAGTTCCATGTCGAACCAAAAATGTTAATAAATATTATAAAGTGATTACTGAAGTAGGTTCAGGGACATATGGAAAGGTATATAAGGCAAAATGTTTAAAAACAAATGATTTTGTTGCATTAAAGAAAATTGATACCAAAGATTAAAAAATTATGGCAGAAGGTATAAATTACTTATAATATAATTTTTAGGATTCCCAATAACAGCCATAAGAGAAATCAAATTGTTAAAAATAATGAATCATAAAAATATTTTGAGATTAAGAGAAATTATTGTGAGTAAAGCATCTCATAGAAATAATTTCAGAGGATCAACATTCTTAGTTTTTGATTATTATGATCATGATTTTGCAGGTCTTCAGAGATAACGAAATATATTCACATTACCATAATTAAAATGCATTTTTAAATAACTCTTAGAAGGTGTTAAATATCTACATGAAAGTAAAATTATACATAGAGATTTGAAATGTGCAAATATACTCATGAATAATAAAGGGTAAGTAACATTAGCTGATTTTGGTTTGGCTAGAACCTTATCTAATATGAGTAATCCTAAATATACATACAAAGTAGTTACACTTTGGTATAGAGCACCAGAACTTTTATTGGGATAGACTAATTATAATACATAAATTGATATGTGGAGTTTAGGTTGTATTTTTACAGAATTAATAACAGGAGATATACTTTTTAAAGGTGATATTGAATATCGTTAAATGGAAAAGATTTATGAATTATGTGGTAGTGCTAATGAATAGAATTGGCCTAATTGTATCAATTTAAGATTATGGGAAGAATTCAAACCTAGAAGAAATTATGAGAGATTACTTACTAAACATATCAAGGAACTTTGTTAAATATATAATAAATAGATTGATTAAGTTACTTTAGATTTAATTGAATAATTATTAACACTTGATCCAAATAAACGATTAAATGCAACTTAAGCTTTAAATCATGAATTTTTTAAATAAGATCCAAAACCTTGTTAATAAAATGAAATGCCTTAATTTGACAAAGAATTTCATGAAACACTTATGAAAAATGATATTAGATTATAATAACTTAGAAATGATAAAGTTTAGTCTAGACCTTAATAGATTACTAATTAAAAATTTTAAAAATTAATAAAAGATGAAAGAAACTAATCTAGACCATAAGTTTAATAATAGTCTCCTTAAAGAGATATCAAAAATAATTAAGAAATAGATTATTATGATTTATTAAAAATTGAAATAGAGGAAAAGAAGAGAGTAAAATTAAATTGACAATGGGTTTTATATATCAAAATTAACATTGTTTGTAATATTATTTACCCATTTCTATACAATTTTACGCTTCTTATGTATTTAACATTTCAAGTGTTATTTTATATTCTGTCTTAATCATTTTTTTTGCTTCATTAATGTAATCATTGTCTACATTCATATGAAATTCTTTAAATAAATTAAAAAATTGATGGTTTATATTTTACTATGACTAAAATACTTATAATATTATACATTTAATATTGGTTATTTAAAATAAAATGAGATAACATTACTATTTAATCTTTTGCTGCTGATTCTTTTTAAAAATATCATATAATATAAATATTAAATAGAAATTTATTGACTTTATTATTCTGTTTTTTAAGATTATTTTTATTTTTATTATTAGATTCCTTATAATTTCGAATAATTTGATTTATCTTCTTTTATTAAACATATGAATCCTTAATTTATAATAAGTATTCTTTATTTTTAAGTTCCAATTATTTTACATCTAAAAATATTAAACTTGATATTATAAAGTTAATTTATTTCTAAATTCAATTTCTTAAACAATCCTTTATTTTCATATCTTTTTATTGGATCTTATTTTAAAGAATTAGTTCTTGAATCTTTTTTTAGAATAAGTGGTTAGATTTCAAATTGTGAAGTATTATTTAAATGTATATTTTACAAAATGTTGGATTCAATAATAGATGATTATCTATATGATGAAGATTATTATATGTTTGATTGGTCTTAAGATCGAATAGAATCAAATTAATCATCTGGTTACTTTTATAATTATTATTACAATTATAATTTATTGAACTTAAATGGAACTATAATTTAAGAGTTATAAAAACTATTCTAAGATCTTGTACTTATAGTATCCTCTTCAGTATTTTAATACTATTATTATTATTATTAAAAACAAATATAACTCTGTTGAATTTATTATTCAGATTAAAACTTAGAATATTTAATTATCTAAATTTAATTTTATAAATTTTAGACTTTATCTACAACCTTATATTATTTAATAGGTCCTCCAATATATTGAACTAATTCTTGTAAATGTTTGTTTGTCTAGATGAAGCATTTCATTTCAGGAGGCATTCGTATAACTCTACATTAAACACATCCATTATTCGAACATAATCGACATAAATTAGTCTCAAGTTTAAGAGATTCTGTGTAATTAAGAGTCAAACAATCAAGTTGTTAATAATAATTCATAAGTATTATTATTTCATCTTTTGGTAAATCAAATATTTTTGAAGGTATACATGCAGAAGATGGAGTATTTAGTTTTAAATCAACTGCTCTATTTATAATTATAATATTTACTTTTTATAAATATTCTTAACTATTTCAGCATTATCTATATAAATACCACTTAAAGTTTATGGTAATAATGAAGAATCAATTGATAGTAATTTCTATCTAAAGTAAATGAGAACAGCAATCACAAAAAAGTATATCATTAATTAATCTTTTTTAATATAAAGCATTTCCCAAAATAGATAAGTGCATTCTAAAGACATTTTATTTGCAAATAGAGTCAATAACCAAGGTGTTGCATATAGTTCTGGTGAAAGTAAATTTTTATCCAAATAATCATATAATTAGAAGTCATGAAATTTAAGTAACAAATTTATCCATTAAAAAGCCACTTGTAATGATAAGAACTCTTCATCTTTAAAGAAATTGTTATCAAGAATAATTTTACGAGAATATTCATATACTTTTTCCCATGAAAGTCCACTTTCATTAAAGACTGCTACAACAGCAAATATTTCATTCATCCCTTATTTGTAACTTATATTTTCCTATTAACAAAAGAATATAATTATTTTTTCAAGAATGATATGCATTTGAGGTTAAAGTAATTGAGAACGAGTCCTTGGGATATCCATTTTTAAAGTTCGATATTGTGGTTGGTCAACTGATGTTTTATTTATTTCATTCAATGAAGGATGTGGTAGTTAAGGCGAATAAGTGCCTAATAAAATCTAAGTTTGAAATCATTTGAATACATCCCAAAAGAATGCTGTTTTTGATTACTCTATTTTATTTTGAAACATATAACTGAATATAAATTAAAAAAATTATCATTAAAGAAATTCTGAACCTATCAAAGTCCTTAATTAGCTATTTATATTTAACATTCCTTAAAGTAATGCTTTTGAACTTGCATTCATGAATGATGGAAATTCTAATTTACCAGCAATAATCTTTTTATTTAATTCACTTTCATTATTTCCTTTAAATGGAAACAAACCAGTTAATAATCTAAATAGAATAACTCCACATGCCCAAACATCAACTTTATTGTCATAATTTTATTACTTAATTAATTCAGGAGCCATATATTGATGAGTTCCACATTAAATAGATAATTCTTTATCTGTCTAAATGGAATAACCAAAATCAATCAATTTAATTTTCATTGTTTATGGATCTATTAATATATTTTCTAATTTTAAATCTCTATGTATAATCTTTAAATTATGTAAATATATTATTGCATTAGTTAATTATTTGCCTATGATTTTAACTTAGTCTTCGCTTAACCTTTTTATTGTTCTGCCTTTCAAATAGGAATCTAAAGTCATTGGTGAAAAGTATTCTTAGATCAAATATATATTTTATTCTGTTTTCAACTAATAATACAACTTTATTATATTTGGATGAGATAAAAGTTATAATATAACAACTTCTTATTCTAATAAATTAGTATTTGCATGACTTCCATATACTTTAATAGCAACAACAATATCTAACAGTTTATGCCTTGCCATTTTAACTTCTGCCGTTGCACCATGTCCAAGAACCTTTAAAATTTGATACATTTTTATATCTTGTAATTCAAATGGTACTTCTTACAATTATGTTTCTTGTGTTCTTATTATTTCATTTTGCATATTATTAGTGGAAGTAGTGGGAATAAATTATTATTTCATAATTTGTCTAAGATGACTCCCTATTGATGGTTATCCAGCAATTTTATTTGTACTTTATTATCTCTTAATTTAAAGTGGAGGTACTACATTAGAATTTGCTGTAGCAGATCCTCTTTATTATCTAAAATAATTTTATCTCATATTATTAAATTATTTATTAAATAACAAAACAAATATAATAATTATGAATAAATACTACTCTTAATATAGATCAAAGGAATGAATTAATGATGTTTTCAATTTTATATTAATATTATTATAACAAATTTCAATTTTTATTGAATTAAAAAAAAAATATAAAGAAGTTATAGATTTATTTAATAACATGATTAAAATAATAAAGATATAAATGAGATTCTCTATTAAAAATTTAAAGAATCAAATAGATTCTTACTAGTAGAACAAATAAAAAATTTAGAAAATAAATTCAAGAAATTTTGAAAGTATTTGAAAACAAGTTTATTAATCATATCTAAATTCAATACATAAATCATAATTGAAGGGATAAGATAAAGATTATTGAATCAAAAAATATGTTAGATTAATTCAACTTAATAAATAATAAATCTAATACTTAAAATTGTTATAATTGAATCTAATATATCAAGGTTCATGTTTAGTAGATTAATGATTAGCTTTATCTTATAAATAATTGCTATGATGAATATCGATAATCTTCTTTTAAAGATTAGATATCTAAGATATTTTTTCTGCCAATTAATTATTTTAATTGTCTATTTTCTTTTATGAAAACTCAATCTTTTATGCTAAATCTCTCTCTATTATGTTTTTTTCAATTTACAATTATTTTACTTCTTATTCTAATTCTTATATTATTTTTTCCTTTGCTCTTTAATCCAATTAAAATGATTATTTAAGATATTATTCCTTTTATTTAACAGTATGATCATATTCTTATTTAATTTTTTATTTCTCCTTATTTTATTTTTCAGCTAAATGACCCATTTTATGTTCTAAAACTTATACAGAAATTAATTGTTATTTTTATGAAGTAATTAATTCAGTCTATCTTTTGATTTCATCTTTAAGAATATTAAGACTACTCTCTCTTTCTGAAAGTAAATCTATTGCAAATGTAAATTCACTTTTCATTTCTTCCATAGCTTTTTATGTATATGTAGTAAGTAATTCAATTTATTTTTCATTATTACTAATTTTGATTTCCAAATTTTATATCAATAATTTCAATTACTAATTTTCTCTTATCATTTTTCTCATGTCCATTTCACTTTTATGTAATAACCAAATATAATCTTATTATTCATCATCATTGCATAACTTATATGATTGAACTTCTTCTTCTGTTTAAATAATACCCCTATCATAATTAGCAATCATTTAAGATACTTAATATAAGTAGCAAGCATCTCTTTAATTAAATCAATCAATCGATAAGGATCTAATCTAGTATATCCAAATTCATTTGATTTTCTATTTAATTTTTCATTAATGTCATTAAAATCCTGTTTAATACTTAAATACTTACATAATATCTATTGTTGATTTCCAAAAATAATGCTTGAACTCTTTATACTAATTCATTATATTTCTTTTCCATCTTTAAATAATCTTCCCTTTCAACATACTTTTCAGGATCAAAAGACATTTTATAGTGTTTAGGAGATTTCTATTATTTCATTATAGATGGTTTTTCAGTTAAACTGACTGAAGATAAATTAGGTTTTTTTATTTTCTTTTAATCTGACATTGTTATTATATTAATTAATAGGTTTGCAAAATGAAACTAATAATGAAACAAATGACTTATAAAAGTTGAATAATCCAACAATCATTATTAAAGTCAATCAGACTGATATCCTTATTTGGTATTTCTATCTATTTAGTCCTGAAGAAACTCCTTTAGAAAATGGAATATTTAAAGTCTAAAATCAATTAATAAACCTTGATTAAAGTGTCTATAACACCCAATTAACTAATCAAGTTCCCTACACTTCATTTTTAAACAAAAATATTTCATCTAAATGTTCATATGGACACATACTTTCATAAAAATGGAGACTTAGCTGAACAATTAAATGTATCATTCAAGTTGTTAGATTAATGCTTTAAAAGCCTAATCCAGATAGCCCATTGAATTATGATGCATCTAATATATTTAGAACCAATAATTTAATTGGTTACAAACTAATTGGTCTATAAATATANCAGAAATTAATTGTTATTTTTATGAAGTAATTAATTCAGTCTATCTTTTGATTTCATCTTTAAGAATATTAAGACTACTCTCTCTTTCTGAAAGTAAATCTATTGCAAATGTAAATTCACTTTTCATTTCTTCCATAGCTTTTTATGTATATGTAGTAAGTAATTCAATTTATTTTTCATTATTACTAATTTTGATTTCCAAATTTTATATCAATAATTTCAATTACTAATTTTCTCTTATCATTTTTCTCATGTCCATTTCACTTTTATGTAATAACCAAATATAATCTTATTATTCATCATCATTGCATAACTTATATGATTGAACTTCTTCTTCTGTTTAAATAATACCCCTATCATAATTAGCAATCATTTAAGATACTTAATATAAGTAGCAAGCATCTCTTTAATTAAATCAATCAATCGATAAGGATCTAATCTAGTATATCCAAATTCATTTGATTTTCTATTTAATTTTTCATTAATGTCATTAAAATCCTGTTTAATACTTAAATACTTACATAATATCTATTGTTGATTTCCAAAAATAATGCTTGAACTCTTTATACTAATTCATTATATTTCTTTTCCATCTTTAAATAATCTTCCCTTTCAACATACTTTTCAGGATCAAAAGACATTTTATAGTGTTTAGGAGATTTCTATTATTTCATTATAGATGGTTTTTCAGTTAAACTGACTGAAGATAAATTAGGTTTTTTTATTTTCTTTTAATCTGACATTGTTATTATATTAATTAATAGGTTTGCAAAATGAAACTAATAATGAAACAAATGACTTATAAAAGTTGAATAATCCAACAATCATTATTAAAGTCAATCAGACTGATATCCTTATTTGGTATTTCTATCTATTTAGTCCTGAAGAAACTCCTTTAGAAAATGGAATATTTAAAGTCTAAAATCAATTAATAAACCTTGATTAAAGTGTCTATAACACCCAATTAACTAATCAAGTTCCCTACACTTCATTTTTAAACAAAAATATTTCATCTAAATGTTCATATGGACACATACTTTCATAAAAATGGAGACTTAGCTGAACAATTAAATGTATCATTCAAGTTGTTAGATTAATGCTTTAAAAGCCTAATCCAGATAGCCCATTGAATTATGATGCATCTAATATATTTAGAACCAATAATTTAATTGGTTACAAACTAATTGGTCTATAAATATAGTTAAAGATAAAATGATGTAGTAATTTAAATTAAAATTTTATATTTAAATATATATGAAGAATGTACTTACAAATATGTTAATATTTTATTATTGTGTATATATTTTAAAATATTCAGTGAAGATCTTTGAGTTCAGAATATATAAAACAGAAATTCATTTGAAAATATTAATTAGTAATGTAAATATTCTAAAATTAGATTAAATTAATGATTGCAAACGTTTAAAAAGGAAGAATTTCAAATGAGAATTAACAATAATATATAATAAATATAAATTATAGTATGAATTTACTATTAATTATTATGTTCATTTTAAGGGAGTATAATTATTCAGTGATTAATGAGGCATAAATTTGATTCATTATAATATTATATACATGAAAGAAATGAATGATAATTCTTAGATAGTTGATGGTAAGCGAAAACGTGTAATGTCTGCAAATGGAGTGATGTATGTTGTAACAAAGGAACTAATACGGGAATAGAAAACTTCAGTTCCTTAAGTTTAAAAGACATCAGTTAAGAAACAAGAAAAAAGCAGGAAGGTCATAGAAAAGCAATAATGCAAGAATGATAAAAGAGTAAGAATAACTAAATCAGCCTTGAAAGAATTGATAAATAATCATTTTATAGTAGTAGATGATAATGAAGAGGCAATGATCCAAAGCAGCAAGTATTTATTATACGATTTTAATAGATAATTTTAGAACTCACTGGTTGGAAATAAAAAAAGACATAGTTCATCATCAGATTCTCAATTTGAATCTTCATCATCATCTAGGTACATATCCATTCATATTATTTTAAGTTTTTGAAGAAGGGATTTTTGATGTTTAAATTATATATATATATATATAAATATAGATTATTATGAATCAAAAACTAATGATATTAACTCTTAATCCTAATAGAATTATTGTACAAATTTAAAGAGACTATATTTAGATAATATGATTCAATCAACTAGAATTTCTAAAAATTTGATCATATATAATTTAAGAAATTAAAAAATTTAAGGAAGTAAATAGAAAGTAGATTAAGGATGCTAGAATGAAATCATATTAATATTTGGGTATTTCAATAGTATACTGAAAGTCTGTTCTATAAGATGAAAAAGTTATTGAAATATTTTAATAATGTCCAATAATCAGATTAAAAAAGAGGGATATGAAGATAAAGTAGCTGAGTTAAATTTCAAAAAAAAACATTTAGAACCAGAAAACTATATTTTTGAGAAAGAATTAATTTCTAAATAAAAATTGGAAAATACTAATGACTCATTATAGCAAAAATATATTTTATCAATTTAGAGATGATGGGTTCATAATTCTTTAGTCAATTATATATATATAGTAATCAGAATAATTGATTATCTATTTCAAATCGAGATTATTTATTATCAATTAATTAAACCATTTAATAGAATAGTGAATAAAGTTAATAAAAGTATGGTAAAGGAAAAACAATAGATAAATCTCATTCTAAGAGTTATACGATTCCCTGTTTATTTCTGAAAGTTAATAGAAATGAAAATATTATGATGCTATAAAGAAAAATATAAAAATAGAGAAAATGAATTTATTTGGTATTTTTTTATAAGAGTGTTTATGATATTACTAAGATTCTAATGTTTTATGATATTCTTGGCCAACAAGGGAAAAATCTAATGATGATATGATAGTTGCTTTTGAATATAATCATAATAAAGAAAAATTAATTATTTTTATAAGGCTATAATGATGGAATATACGAAATTTATAATCCACAAAATATAATAATATCTAATGGTATTATAATATTTCATATTCATTTTTATTATGATTAATTGCATCTCAGAAATTTATGGTCTAAATTTTAAATGTTTATCATTACAAAAACAAAAATACTTTATAGAATAACGATAAGAACTATTTGGATAATAATATTTTCCAAAAATTCAATTTATTAAAAATTTGGAACCCAGAATAACTTCATTAAATAAAGTTTCATAAAAAGATGAAGAATTTATTAATGAGATTATGTTATACTGAATGTATACAAATTAATATCTATATTCTCAATTAATTTTTGAAAAAATAAATTAAATTAGTATTTTATATAACTAGATATTTAATATAGATTAATAATCAATACTTTCAATCAACAGACAAATATTTTTATAAATTGTTATTTTTAATTAATTTTTTAATGATGTCATTTCTGACAACTTGAATATTAAATATCAACTTAAGTTAATTGTTAATAAATAATGATCATAAAGACTATAATATTCATTTATTTATAACAACATATATATTTAATCAATCTTTTGGAATAGGTCCATCATAATCAGCAATTAAATACATTATACTAGCAATAGCAACAACATTATCATCCATATCTTCTTGATTCATCATCCACATAGAATCACCAGCAGTATGATGATAAGTGAAATAGAAATCATGATTTTCATTATCAGCAATTCTATTATTTAGCATAGGAGTTCCAGTAAAATCAGCCAATACACCACTGTCAACAGATTCTCCATCATTTGGGTAAATGCGTTCAGCTCCAATACCAGTTAAATATTCTTAAGCTAAATATGTAACTAATTAACTATGAATATATTTTGAAATTACGTAAATTATTATCCAGCTGTAATTCCAAATCCATATGGTTTTGTTGATCCTAAATCTGATTCGAATGCAATGATGTGATTATCTTTACCATGATTACGAGCATAATGAAATGCTCCATTATTATTTTAACCCATCTCTTCACCACTCCAAGCAATAAATCTTATTGTTCTCTTTGGTTTTATTCCTAATGAATTTAAGATTCTCAATGCTTCTAAACAAACAATAACACCACCTCCATCATCATTGGCTCCTGTCTATGATCCAACATCCCATGAATCCCAATGGCCACCCATTAATAAGATTTCATCTGGATATTTATATCCTTTGATTTCTGCAAAGACATTGTCACTTGTTGTTTTATATTATTATCCTCCTGTTTTAATCTCCACAACAACTTTTTAACCTCTTTTTTTCATTCTGTCTAACATATCAGCATCTTCAACAGTAATTGCAACTGCAGGATATTTAATATTTTCATAATCCGTCATTCCCTTTAAAAATTAAAAAAAATATATATACTGTATGTGGTGATGCAATTGAAACGCTGGCCACACTTCTAATCATTGTACCAATAGCTCCTGCTTTTTCTGCTAATACAGGTCCTGCAAATCTGAATGCTATAGCTGATCCATATCCATTCCATTCAAAATTGAAGCATACAATCTTTCCTCTCACATCCTTCTCTTTCAATTCTTCAAATGAATGAACAACTTCAACTTCTCCCTTCACAACTCCAGCAGGTGTCCATCCAAGGCCAATCATGTTCAATTTCTAAGGAATTTATCTTGGTTCGAATAATGTAACACTTTCTTCTCCTCTCATCCAAGATGTTATCTCACCCAAATTCTCTTTCCATACTCTATCAAATCCCATTTTCTCAATATCTTTATAGAGTGCATCTACTGCATCAGCCATATTCTCAGATCCCCATAATCTTGGACCAAATGTATCTACATAATATGCTAATCTATTATAAGCTGAATGGTAATATTAGCTTTAGGGATTCTTAATTTATTCTCTTATTTACTTATATATATATAATCATTAAATTACCTAAATGACTCCTTCTGTAATTTTGTCTTTTACACCACTTCTCAACATTAAAGCATTCACACAAAATGTGAATACTAGTAATATAATAAATTTCATATTAAAATAATTTATTCTTAGAATTAAAAGCATTAATTCAATACTTTTATTCAAGGAAATTCCAAATGGAACATTTAAGTATTCTTAAGATCCAATTTTTTTAAGAAAATTATTGATAATAATACAAATTATGATTCACAGCTCATCAAAAGCATAACGTTTAATAGAGGAAGGATAATAAAATATCACTCTCAAAAAGTTAGTCAAATTTTCACATTATGAAACCATTTTCAAATTTGTTTTCTTTCTTGTTTTAAGTAAATTTATATCAATAAGCTTTTCTTAGTTGTTATCTCTTTATATAGTTTCGATATTATCTAATTTTAACAATTCCTTTAAGAAAAGAATTTTCGAAGATTCGATTGGAAGAATATCAAATGGCTTTTCATTGGACTAATTCTGATACATGTAAATATGTATTCTTAATAATAGATTACTAAAGAGTTGAATAAGTTGTTTGTAACAGGTTATGTAGAAAGAAAGCTAGATTCAAAATATATAGGAATTGATAGATAATTAAGAGTATAAAAAATTGTGAAATGGATATATGACACAGTATATTATAGTAGTGCAACACTCTTCGCATTTTTCACATTTAGAAATGAAAAATGGTTCCCATCAGAATTGGGTGGCACTGATTTTAAAGAGACATTATATGATTTTCCTAACATCCCAGATGTACAATTATACGTTAGCATTTTATTAGAATCCTTGGGTTCCTGTATATTATATGGTTTAAGCATCAAGTCATGTACATGCTTTATTGTTACTAATGGTTTATGGTACAAAGATAGAACTGAAGTATTGGGAATATTTATTACATCATTCACTTGCTGTTAGTTTACTTTATTTTTCAACAATGTATAACTGTGAAAATATTGGAATTGTGGTTTTGTTACTCCATGATATTAGTGATATATTCTTGGCCTTAGGAAGAGCATATGGAGATCTTGGTAAGACTAAGATATTGGTTTATCTTGGATTTATTTCCATCTAAGTATCTTGGTTGTACACAAGAGTCTATGTGTTCCCAATCAAGATATATGATTGCATGATAAATCATCCACAATTCCTACCTTATTGGTAATATATCACATATCAACTTTTTATAGGGAACGAACTAAACATGCTTATTATAATCAAATTGGACTTATGGTTTTACTGTTCGGTATGCATGTTTATTGGACAATATTTATGGTTAAAGTAGGATTGGGTATTTTCTCATCTGGTCGATATAAGAATATTTATGATAATAGAGAAAATAAATTAGATCATAAGAAAGAGAATTGAAAATATTTTAATAAATTAATTACAATTTTCAGTTATTTTATTTAATAAAATTTATTTAATAAAATTTTAAAAATTCATAATCTAAAATAAAAGATTGTCACTATCATTTTTCTAATTAGTAGTTAAATATCATCAAAATTAAATTAATGTACATTTTTATAAGCATTCTGTTGTTAAGTATAAAAGATTACTAAATTTGAGAAAAAAGATGATATTTTAAAATACAATAGTGTAAATTTGTTGCATATTCAAATAAAACAAATAGAAAATACATTCTTATAGTGATATCATTATTGAAACTCAATTAATATAGTTAATTAATATCTTAACTATAGTTATTATTCATTGTGTTTATCAACAACTACAATCTATTAATAATTATTTAGTTAATGCACATTTCTTCAATTAAATAATGTCTTATAGGTCTTTTTGATAATATGTATTTCATATATCTTATGAGATTTTATTATCAATATTACTTAAATGAATAAAAACTTTTGCCTTCTAGGATGAATGTATTTAGAAAAATATATAAAAATATTAATTAAATGAGCAGTACAAATCGTGCCTTTCGAATGAAATAAATGTAGAGTCCAAGATTGTTTTCTGATCATCCACTTAAAACATTACCTGATGAAAGAACAACTACAGTTTTCAATCAATCTCGAAAAATGGAATCACAATCTAGTTATGATAATGTTAACAATATTCACTTATGAAAAAGGCTATTGAAAATAGACTATACCACATTGAATAGTTAGCTGAATCATTGAAGTCTAACACTTCAATAGAATAGACTAGAATTATGAGTAGTTTACAAGAGATAGCCAAAACACTTAAAAGTATTTCCAAAACTGAGATTGAATTAAATTAAAAGAATAAATAACTTGATCATGTTACTATGGAAAGTGTAATGTAAAAATAAACAATACAAAAATTAAAAGATTAATAAGTATATTAATAGGTAATGTATATTTAGAATCATTATAAAGTGGATAATGAGGGATATTTAAAATAGTTAAGTCTCTCTTAATAAGATTAACATAAATTATGTAGAGATTTATTGCAATAAAAAAAAGTAGTAGAAGAATAGTATAAAAAAATTAAGTTCTTAGAGAAAAGGATAGAAATGATGTTGGAGAAAAATCTATATGTAAAAATTGTTATATATATTATACAATAGTCTCACTCTGAAGAACTAAGAAATACATTGTCAGAATTAATCAGAGATAATGAATAACTCAAACGGGATTTAGTTAAAAAAGAAAAAGAAAATGAAAGACTTAAAGATTTAAATTCTAAATTACTATAATAAAATAATAGATTAACAAAAAAATTAGATTCCTTAAAAACTAAGAAAGTAGGAGTAAAAGAAAATATAACTGAAAATTAATAGATATCTAATTATGCTTTTAATCCAAATTCATTACCAAGTAATTTAGAATTTCGATTGAATGATCTTGATAATGATGATTGTGATTTCTTATTAGATTTAATTGAACATGGACCAGAAGTATTTACAAATTAAGTTGTTACTCTTGATTCTATACAACAAAAAAAGGATCTCATTAATCTAGTGGCATGTATGTATCTCTCTTTTATTTAATTAAATAGCTTAATTTATAAGTGCAAGAGATTTCTCTGAAAAAATAAATTAAATTATGAATGAATTTATAACAATGATTAGTTATAAGAGTATACAAGATTTTTAAATTCATATAAGTAAAGCATTTCGATCAATTTTTGGAACTGAAATAGTACATTTATGGATAATTGATGGAATGACATGTAGAGCGCAAACATATGATAGTAATGGTGTTTAACATGTTGCCTTATTAACTGATGGAGTTTTTAGTTAATTAGTATTTGAAGATTATGGTATAAGAAGTCCATCAAAAAAATAAGAATTACTTTATATAACAGAGAATAATGAAGTTTTTGGTAAAAACTTTCTTTTACTTCCTATTATGGGAAATAGTTTTAAACCTTGTGGAATATTAGAAGTATTCTACAATAATATTCATAGATTCAAAATATCTAAGAAAATTTATTCTTAGATTCATAATATTATGGATTATTAATTAATATGTTAAGTAAATCAGTTGTTTAGAGTATATTGGATTTTGAAGCTTTAGTTAAAGAACTTAATTATAGAGATCTCTTTTATAGATGTTTCAATAGGTTGATTTAATGTAAGGATAAAGAACATTTTTGTACAGCATTATAAGAATCTGCTATGTAAATTTTTCAAATTGCTTAAACAAAATTATTATTTATTGAAAATAATTAATTTTGGATTTAAGGTAGAATTTATCAATTATAAGCTGGATGTGCTTATTAAATTTATTTAAAAGGTAAACCTCAAATATTTACTTAAATTACAAGATAAGATCATTTTGATGAAAATACAGATATATCCTCAATATTACCTGTTTTTATTGCACCAATTTATTTGAATGAACAAATTACAGCCATTTTATAATTTATATTAAAGAAAAAATAAATGATTGATAAACATCCATTCGGAAATTAAGCAAATATTGGATTTAGATTAGATACAATTGATTAAGATGCTTAAAAATTTTATGAAATAGTATAGAATGCTTTTTAGATTGTATTTAGATGAATTTATATATATATTTATTTATATAAGTATTTAAATCAAATTAAAGATTATCACTTTTATTATTCTTGAATTTATTCAATCTATGATAATGAATCAAATTTAGATGGTTATCTAATACTTCTATCTAAATTTTTTTAACTTTATCCAATTTGTAATCTAGAATATTCTGATTATGGATTTGATATATCTAAATTTCTTTTACTATTTGGATCATATTTAGATTATTATTTAGATATGGGATCATTATTTTTAAGATTTCTTTGTGATGTTGGATCTTTATTAGAAAATACTTAATTTGAATAAGCTTAAGATTATATTTAAGGATATGATTAAAGTGAAGGTACTCTATTTGATTATCTATTAGATTAATAAGGTTCAGGTTTATTTTAATACATCTTTTATAATTTTTCAAGTTCCTCATCATAATTATATACAGATGATCTAGAAAGATTACTTTTAGAAGTTTCAAATTTCCAAGCATTTTACATTTCTTTAATTTCAGTTCTAGATAAATCTTATTCATCTAATATAGTTTTTTATTTTCTAATTTCATCAACTTATTAATCAGTTTTGAATTCAAAAGGATCAATAGTTAAATTAACATTTGCAAATTAAAATTTGTATTCATGTTTATTTTATTATATTTAAAATCTTTAATAATCATCTTTTCTTTCTTGTAGTTTATTTTTAATTGGTATAATATCTTATAATTCTTTCTTTTAATTATATAATGCAATTTCTAATTATTGATTTTATTCTAAAATCTTCTTTTTTGTAATAGCTTATAATTTTAAGATTTCTTGTTTTTATACTTCTACCATTCCATTTAGAGCTGTATCTTTTAATCTTTAATTGTATTCATCTATTAATTTATAATATTCTTATCTATCATTATTATAATAATATTCCATTAAATAATCTAAATAATCTTTATATCTTTGAAATTTAACTTAAGTTAAATATTCTTGGGCTATTTATTCATCAAGAGGATTATATTTAGTTTATAATTTCAATTCATATTATTACATTTTTTCATCTTATTCTCTCTTTAATTCTTCTAAGACTTCTTGTCTAATTTATTATTTTGCATCTCTCAATAAATTTTCAAATTCTTATTTAGTTATTACATCTTCATTAATTTTATGATCTCTTCTTGGAATTTCTTGATTATAAAGTTGTTATTTCAAAAAGGATTAAGCATTCAAAGAAATACCTGATTAAGAACTACTTAATGATTAATTCAATTAATTTTATCCCATTAATGATAGAATACTAATAGAACTATCAGGACTTGTTGGTTGATTAAATTTAATAATTGATTCATTTCTAGATTTGAATTCATCTTTTATTTTATTTACTTTTTCAAATGAATCTGAATTCATCTATTATTTCCATTCATCATAACTTAATAATTTATCCATTAATTTTGGTTATTATCTCTATTCTTTAGTAATATAAATATTTTCATTATAACATTTATTGATGAACCATTTAATTTTTTCTAATAATTATTTGGCATCTGATGATCTAATCTTAATATTTTCAATTTTCTCTACATTATTACTTTCATCCATATATTTATATATAAAATCCAATAATAATGCAGATCTAATTAAAGCTGTAGTATCCTATTTAATTTCTTTTAATAGACAACACTCTACAGAGAAAGTCTATTGAAAATATTGTAAGATAGTTCTTGTAACTATTTCATGATCACTAAACCTACTTTAAGGATGAGTCTAAGGATCTAATATGTAGCATTTTCTCGTTGAAAAATGTATAATATATAAAAAGTACATTTCTTTATAGGAAGTGATAGCTATTACTTAATCAATTATTTGTTTGATATTGAAATTCTCCTTTAAATTCTTCAACTTATAACCTCTTTGTATTGGAATATTCTTTATTCTATCAAATTGGGGCAATAATTCAAAATAGCACATTTAAAACTCAAGATGATAACTGTTGTCCTTAGTATAGAATGCTTCATAGTAATTAAGTAGAAAATTAATGTAGTAATGTTAACAATCTTCACTGTATTTTAAGGCACTTTCATAAACTAAATAATCAAACTTACAAGGACTTAAATGTAACATAATTTGTTCCTAATTGTAAACAAATAACTATATTGCCAGGTATTGGTTTATCTTCTTTGGAAAGTGGCTGAAATTGATTAAGTTTTAATAATTACATTATATAATGGACATTCCAATTAATAACTTCAAAGGTGTGATGTTATGCAACAGACCACAGACCAAATGAAAATGTAATGGTTATAAAAGAAAAGTATTTCTTTGGCATAAATAATAAGTCCTTTCTGTTCAAGTATTAAACTTTAAGATTCATGGGATTAACAAAAAAATTGAAGAACCAAAAATAATGGTTTTTACCATGAATCCAGTAATGGAAAGACATAAATAATGGTTGGAAGAATTCAGATTACAAAATTAATTTAAGAAACATGCAAAAGAAGAGGAATAAATTCGAGAAGTTGAAAAATATAAAAGAGTGAGAGATTTAGCCAAGAAAAATAGAGAGATGACAAAATAAATGAAGGAAGAATACAAATAAATTAATGAATTAATCTAAAAAGAATTGAAAAATGATGGGCCTAAAAGCAAAACATGAGGCTGTTATCTTAATTTCAATAGTAAAATTGATAGCCGAAGATCTAAAGATATTAGAAGATAGAGTTACCATAAAAGATTCAAATGATAATATATTAGATACAAAGAAGTTACTCATTGCATAATAATAAAAGGAAGAAGAATAACATATTAAATAAAAAGAAGATTGATATATTCATAATATAATCAATTATATTAAGAAAGAAGATAATCGGAAAGAGAAATTAGAATAAGGAGTAAAGAAATAAGAATAAAGATTAAGTGATATGTATAATCAAATTAGTCAGTCTCTAGGGAAGAATGATGAAGCAAAATCAGTACATTCTGAAAAAACTTAAAGTATAATTTCTAATTCATTAGATTCAATAAATTAATTAAGAAAGAGATAAGAATTAATTGAATAAGGTAAATAGGATTGGGAGAAGATAACTTCTAATGGAGTTCAAAAAGCTTCATTAGAAGATTGTATTGCTAAACATGTAGCTAATGAAATTCTTAATCAATATAAAGTAAAATATATTTATTATTATTTATAGAATATATCTAATGTATACCAGAACCTTTGATTTCAAGTATAAAAAATGAAAAAATGCCTAAAGATCCTAATACTTTACAATATTTGCATCGTAATCCAGGTATTTGATAAATTTGATTTAATTATATATAAATTAATGGAGTTTTTTGAGTAATTCAATAATAAGGAAATTACAGAAGAGCAATTTGTAGAATAGTTGTAGACACTAACTACAAAAATATAAAAGAAAAGCACATTGTCTCTAGAATAAATTCTTTAAGTAAATTAATAAATAGATAAAATCGATGATTCATGTTTCAATTCTAATGTTGAATTATTTATTAAATTTGCACTCTATTTATCAAATAGAGGAGTATATGAACTTTTGTATCAATTGAGTTGGGATAAGATAATATATTAAAAAGATAATACAGATGCAAATTTATTAGGATTATACATTATTAAACGTGTATATCATTCTGAAAATCATAAAGTCCTTATTATCTTTTTAAATGAGTAATATTATTATTGATATTTATTAGTATATTACGATAACAAAAAACAGTTGAAAAGAAATTTGTTCTTCTAGAAATATTTGTATAAATACTTCCCAAAATAGAAAAAAGAGAAATTCATTTAGCAGTAATATTTCCTGTTATATTAATTGTTATCAATGAAGGATTACAAAAATACTTAAAATATAAATAATAAAAAATTCAAAATGATTTGAATGAAGACAATAAATTCACTAAATTGTACATGAATCATTTTCAAAATTGGACTGTCTCATTTTTCAAAAGAATATTTGAATCAATTAAAAAGTTTCCAGAAATCAAAATCTAATCTGTTGCTATACGTGAATTATATGGAATTGATACTAAATATGATTACTTTGATAATTAATTAAGTAGAAAACCTGAAGATCCAAAATTAATAGTAAAACATTATGTTTTATTATTTTTATCTGATTTAATTTAAGGAATTTTAGAATCTGAATAATCTATGAAGGATTCATAATTAGATCCAGAAGTTATTTAGACATTACTTAATCTAACAAATTAAATGATTTATGATATTCATGATAATAAATTGGAGATTATAGAAAATTATATAAACTGGATAAGATTTAGTATATAATTTGATTAAGAATTACCACAATAATATTAACATTATTCAAATGAATAAACATACAATCCTGCATTTGTATGTTATTTAACAAGAGAATTATTAACAAATAGTAGTTTGGAATAAATATTAACAGTAGATTATAAATTGAAAATTTTAATTGGAGTACTTTATGAATAAAAAAAACTAACAGGTTTGAAATGTGATATTTAGAGCAAATTAATAGAATTAATAGTTAAGTATTTAAATTTAAGAGATGTTTCTAATAAATTTAGAGCAGCTAATCATTTTACTACTCCATTTGATATTATTATTATGTTAATAATGGAAAAGGCAGGATCAGGATTGGCAGATGAAACACCTTACATTTCAGCTTGGAAATAAGCATAATCTTCATTCATACCTGAAGTATGGACAAGAATATTAGAATAATGTATAAATAAATCTCAAAATTATGTTTTACTTTCACATTTAGTAAATCATTTTAGAAGTGCTAATTCAAAATTAGACAATCAAGTATTATTGAAAATATATGATATTCTAATTTAAGCAATATACAAAAAAGAATCAGGAAATATTGATGCTAAAGTTTTATTATTTGATTCAGCTACACTTTTAATTTAATAATTGGTAAAATATTTATATAATTATTATATTATAGAATTTGAAAAAGGCAGATTTGTAAAAGATATTTGAATTAAAATGGAAACCTTTATTAAAGAAATACGAAAAAGATTTACAATAATCTATTGATTATTTAGAAACAAGAAAGAAAGAAGGAGATGAATAAAAATTAAAGGATGATTAAGTTTTTTAGGCAATTTTGGGATAAGAAAGAAATTTAAAAATTGCTTATTATAATTTGAGTAAGGTATTGGAGTGAAAAAAAAGATGAATATATATATATATTAATCATTAATTCAAATAATTTCTATGAGAAATTTAGACTCCATGAAGATGAAAGTCTTTAGTGATTATAGCTAATTCTATATGAATATTTCCAGTTGATTCAACTTTAAAACCAAATCTACTTTCTCCTGAAAATAATAAATCTCTATGAACTAATTCAGGGTAAGCTCCAATTAATTTATCAAAGAAACTAGCCTCTGGTCTCCAACATTCTAAAGATATATAAATTGATTACAAATATCAAATTAGTATTCTCCAGGTTCTATGGGAAGAGAACTAAGACCATAACCACCTAGAGAATTTCTTCCATGATCATCAACTTCCCAGACTTCAACAAGTAATTTTGGCCATCCTCTTACTGCTTTAGTAACATAATTTAAATCTATAGGATGTTCAAGAGGTATAAATTTTGAATTTTATGAAGATGATTAAAATGTTTCTCCTTCTTCTTATCCTGATATCTTTTTCCAGTGATCTCCAACTCTGAAAAAATATTTGACATAAAGAGAAGTATGTGTAAAATTTGTAGCTCCAGCTATTTTACCAACAATAAAAACTTGTGGACTATCTGCAGACATTTTAACAAATTGTATAATTTATATAAATCAATAATGAAATATATATGAGATATGGTATTCAAACTTGATATATGACAATTCTCATTCTTATTCTCTATTGCCTTCATATTCATAATTTGGTATTTGATCATCAATATGTTAAGCCAATGAAACACTCAATGGCATATCACCATATTAAAGTACTCTATCTGTAATATTAAAATTCTCTTAATCTTCAAGAACTGATTCTGTTCTATTTATAGTTGCAGTTGGATTCTTTTTTCGATTATTTATTTCTTATTTTTTAAAGTAAACTGCAATCAACATAAATAGTAATCCAGCAAAAGAGTAATACATCAACGCAAAAATAGCTACTTTTGCATTATATCTTTCCATTAAAAATCCATAGATAGAAGGTGCTGGTAGAAAACCAAATAAATTCTAAAACATTGTAGTATTTGAATTTGCAAATGCTTTTAAATGTTTAGGAACTGATGAAAGCATAATTCCAATTAATGGTGGAACTATTGCTCCACCAAAAAACAATAAAAACCAAACACATAATGCTCCAAACCAAAATATATCTGTAAATGGAACTGGAGCAGCACTCAAACAACAAATAAAACAGTATATTACACATATATAAAGTGATTTAGTTCTTTCATAACCTCCTAATTTTTAAGCTATTAATCCACCTGTAATACATCCAAAAACAGGGGCTGTAATTGAAACTACTGCAAAAACTATATTAACTGTTTTCTAATTTTGATGCATCTCTGATATCATATAATCAGTCATCCAAAATTATATACCTGTAACTATAAAATATAATATGCTGATCACTATTGTACAGCATAACCATAATTTTATAGAATATAATTCTCCCATCATATGCCAATATGATTTATGAGATCCTACACTCAACATTGAAGATCCTAAATCATCAGGGTTTACTGACTTTTTATCTAATCTACTCCTTCTAGTTTTCTTTATTTCGAAATCCTTTGTTCTTACAAATAAAATAAAACTAATTGCACATGGAATCAACAATGCAACTTAAGCATAAAATGCTAATTGCCAATTCCATATATTTGAAATCACACTTGATAACACATATCCAACAAATATACCCAAAGGAATTACTCCTTATAATATTGTTATCCAAATTGTCTTTGATTCTCCTCCAAAGTTGTCTACCCATACTGGAAAATAAATCATCATAGGTGCCTAATCAATATATCTCCTATTCTTACTTATGCACAACCTGTTAAAAATCTACTCAAATAAAATAACCAACTACTCTTATAATGTTGTGGAAACATTAACAAAGAACCCAACATTCCTAAGTAACTAATTGAAACTATCAACTTAGCATTAAAATGTATAAATAGCTTCCCACCAAATAACCCAACTAATGAAATACCTGCATAAACTAATGACCCTAAATATCCCAATTCTTCAGCACTCAAATCCAGTGATGTCTCTATTTATTTAGTTGCTAAGAAAATAAATTATTATTATCTATTTACCTGCAGGAATGATTCCATGGTCTAGATTTATAAGAACATTTGTACTAAGAATTAGAGAATAAATCCATTTATACTTAATTTCCATTATTTATATTAACTAATTTTAAAATCACGTTATGAATAGCATAAATTTCATTCTATAAGCTTATTACGTCTTAATTGTTTCATTTAGATACATATTATAACACTCTATATATTTATATATATATAAGAAACAAAAATAGTAAATCATTTTTTTAATAAAATCTTATAATTTTTTTTAATTAAATAATATTATTAATGATAAACATATCTAAAAGTTTAATTAAAAACAAAATCAAGAAGTTTTATTGTTCTCTTCATTTAAGGTTTTATTATTTTTAATTATAAAATATTTTAGAGAACCTTTATAAAAATTAATTAATGATTATTTAAAATTAATCAATGTAGATAGTAATATTGAAATTACATTATAAAATTATTATCCAAAATTCTAATAAATATTATTTAGATATATTTATGATGATCTGAATTTACAATTTTTTGAGAAGAGTAAAGAAAATTATAATAATTAGAAAAAAATAATTAGTATTAATATTTATATTATATGGGAGATAAAAAAAAAAAGGGAGATCAAGTAGAAGATTTCTCAACAGAATAATTAAATAAATTATATCGGAAACGATGTGAAATTAATGGAGTTCCTTTGTGCAAAATATTTAAGGAAAGATTAGAAGCTGTATGTTCAGAAGGAGAACATTTATAAAATGTAAAACTGTGGGAAGAAATGGGACCTGTTGGTGTTAGAGCAATGATGGAATCATTTACTGAAATTGGCTATAAACATTTAAAATAATTAAGATTATGGAGAGTAAAATGTTAAGATGAAGGAGTCAGAACAATATGCATATATATAGATAAAGTTCGATTACTTGAAGTTTTAGATCTTTTAGATAATTAAATTGGAGTTTTAGGTATTAAATATATCTATTTTAGGATGTAAATTCTTAGCAGATATTCTACATCCTAAATGTGAAAATAAATTAGTAAAATTAAAATTGGATCATAATTAAATAGGTTCAGAAGGTTTGGCTGAATTGGCTAAAGGATTAGCTATGAATAATACTTTAGAAAGTTTGGCATTGAATTATTGTGGCATAGAAGCTGATGGAGCAAGATATCTTTAAGATATATTGGCTAATGTTAATAGCAAATTATATAAATTAAAATTATGTGGAAATCGTTTAAAAAATGAAGGAGCATATGAATTATTTAGAGCATTAGAAATTAATAATACTTTAGAAAGAATTAAATTAGCAGATAATCAATTTCATTCTGATCCAAGTGATTAAACTTTGATAAATAAAATACTATCTACTTTTGAATTAAACAAAACACTTGGATATTATGATCTCAAATTTAATTTACTTAGTGATGAAGGTATATTTATATATATATATTTAAATAATTAGATGCTACTAGAATAATTCCATTAATTGAAAAAAATAAGTCTATCTTTTTTATTGAGATTTCAGATTAAATATCCAAACCTTTGACTGATAAATTGAAATCATTAACAAAGAAAAGAAAGCCAAAGAAAAAGAAGAAGAGTAAAAAGAAGAAGTGAATAAATTATTAAACAATTTATATGGATCATATTATTTTTTTGTATCTGATAAAATATATCTCTTCCAAAGTTTCATATTACAAACGACGTGGTGATACCTTCTTTATTTACTCAGATACCCTTTTTAACTGTAATTTCAGCATCTAGTTTTTTCTTTCTATATTTCTCATATGCTAAGGTTTCTTTTAATATCTATCAGATGGTGTTTGATTTGAATATATAAAAGAAAAGTACTTTTTGCAGTTATCCTCTGTAGAACATGTAATCTCTTTATTTAGACTTAATGATCTATAATCCTAAATTTAAGGTAGAGATAAATGTTCATCATTTTATACGGCTAACTTTTTTTTATAATAATTCATAAATAGTATGAATATATAAAATATCATATAAAGACAGCCTATTTTTTCAAAGGAACTTCTGATTAAGATTATTATTATTATTATTATTGTTATTGTTATTACTGTTTTGGTTATTTCTATTTTTCAGCTTTCTCTATATCTATATTCATACAACAATCTTTATAGGTTTTATTGGAACCACAATTACATTTTTTATTCTTTTTCTATTTTAATTAATATTTTTGAAGCTCTGCTTTTTTCATAGCCTCTTTTGCAGCCTTTTCAGCTTCTTCTTATTCTCTTAAGGCCTATAAATATTCTCTTTCTTCAGGATCCTCTATTTATTCTAAGTCATCGTATTAATCAAAATTATCCTCATTTCCTAAAGGGGCCTATTAAAAAGTATCCAATAATCCTTCAAAAATATCTAATGGTATTGATTCTGCTCTTTTATTACTGTCATCTCCTAACATTCTTACAGAACTATAATGCTCTGCAACATTTTCAATTAGATGATATGCTAAATGAAGTGAATCTTTCTAATATTGCTATAATCAACACTTTACTTCATTTAAAGGTCTTTCATCAGTCATTGATTTAATAATCATACATGGTCTCCCTTTCATGTGTATAAAAAAATTCACATCCAAAGCTTATGACAAAGCTTGTAATTCTAAATTACCTCCCCATTCTCCATCAGATGACATCTCTTTTAAATATTAATCAAATGTCATATCATCTTCAATAAAAAGTGAAAAGAATTCTTAATTCTCTTGCATTGTTTAAACAGCCAATCTTCTTAATTATTTATGATATTTTTCATCTCCATGTAATACATCTGCTATTGATCTAAAAAGACAATTTCCATCTCCTTCAACATCTCTAATTTAAAGTCCTAATTAATTCATTTCATCTTAAAACTCTTAAAAATGTTTAGCATA